ATGGGGGAAATTTACCTTGGGGTGCGACCAAATTCGGAGGGCAGATTAGCCATATTTACATTGAACCTTATGGGGAAATTTGCCTCATGGTGCGACCAAATTCGGAGGGCGGAACTGTTTAGCCATATTTACATTGAACCTTATGGGGGAAATTTACCTCGGGATGCGACCATATTTGAAGGGCGGATTAGCCGTATTTACATTGAACCTTATGGGGAAATTTGCCTCATGGTGCGACCAAATTCGGAGGGCGGAACGGATTAACCGTATTTACATTGAACCTTATGGGGAAATTTGCCTCATGGTGCGACCAAATTCGGAGGGCGGAACGGATTAACCGTATTTACATTGAACCTTATGGGGAAATTTGCCTCATGGTGCGACCAAATTCGGAGGGCGGAACGGATTAACCGTATTTACATTGAACCTTATGGGAAACTTTACCTCGACTTGAGACCAACTCGAGTTGCAACCAGAGTCATGGAACGGATTAAGTTCATAACTAGAGGTACCACTGTATATGTCTCTAAATGTAAACATTTTACTTCCTAGATAATCACACTGTGTTTTCAATTTTTAAAAACATTTCCAGATTTAATGGGTGATTAAAATTAATGAACTGAGCTACATTCTGCTTTCAAAGACTGTTTCAAGCATTAAAAATCTTTATCTGATGCCAAGCTTTCAAATAATTGACCTGTCAAATAATTGTCTTTGAAACAGGTTTTATCTGATTAGTGGAGGAGTTCCTTTTATTATCTGTGGAATTACCGCCGCAACCAACATAAATAATTATGGGATAAAAAGTTACGCAGGAGCTCAGTTGTAAGTATATTCCTATATTTTCCATGTATGATGCAACTGTTATTTCCTGTAACAGTAAACCATATTATACACCGCACACAGGCTATGTTGCCGGTGAATTATGGTTTGTAATGTTTATAAAGTGAATACATGAATGCATCAGGGGACACACACCTATTTAGTAAACCACTGATTTCTTCTAAATGCATTGATTTAATTGAGTACTAAAGAGGTATTAATATATTGTTACATATTGTAGTATTTCTAAAGCCTTTAAGGAAAGCCCTTCATTTAATACCCTGGTAGATTCAATGTTCCTGTATTTGTAGAAAAGTGGAGGCAGTAAAGCAAATTGTATTTTTCCTTGATGCAAATACTTTTAGGAAATATCATTTGAGAAATACATCAGAGAATTGAAGAGCTCTATCAGATTCCTCTAAAGACAGCAAAGCTCCTCTGGAAATTCTGTCCTATTAAAACCTATTTATTCCATCACGTGTGATTAGACAATCACTTATAATCAACAGGGTGTTAAAAGATCTGATTATTTATGTTCATAAATTTGTGGGAGACTTTCCTTCCAGCACTTTTACAGAGCTTGAGCTACTTTAGTTTAATCACTTTAATCACAGGCAATCAATACCAGATATCACAATGTGAGTAGAAAACCGGGAAGCAGGTAGAGTGGTAAAATTGCTTAGGGGAGAGAGATGCAGACTAAGTCACAGCACAGTGGGTTGTACGCCTTATTCATTTTTCATAACACGACAACATACAAATGTAGATGTACCAACTTCAGTGTGTTTTTTATGGAAGTAATATTTGAAGTGGCCTGTGATGAAGAACCTTTTGAAGATAGCAGCACCCAAAGAAGGGGACAGTTCTGTTGGCTATCGCTCCACTTTTGCTTGTTATATACTCTGCAGATCTTGAAAGGTTTTAAGGATACATAGGGGTTGTCTGTGGTTTTGTTTGTTTGTTTTTTTCAGTCAGAGGAAACAGTTAATATTTTATGTGTTTGAGATCTCTGGTTAATGAGAAGCAGAAAGAGAGAAAATTCAAATAAGGCTGCATTGCACAACCTGAAAGGTATATTTTAGCATCTACTGAATTAGCTTAGAGTTTTTCCCTTTGTTCATCCTAGTGCCTGGAAAGCAGAGCATCTGCAAGTGACTGCTCAGGATATTTGGGGGGGAAAAAAAAAAGAATATATACTCAGGGTGCCTGGAATCAAACTAAGCAATATGCATAACCAGCACACCAGCAGTAAGGAAGAAAATAATATCACAGCAGCATATGAATTATTAGGCCTGGCTCTTAAAAGAAGAATATCTTTGCCCAGCATTGTAATGAAAATCAGGATTGTTTCAGGGGTACCTAACTAGGGAGGGTATCTTAAAGCCAGGGGGGCTACCACTGAAAAGGTCCATGCAAGGCTAGCTCACCATCCTTCCCCTGGTGGAGACATTTAGAGAATTATTTAAATTCATTATTCGCTGAATAAAATTTGTTTATTCAGCTCTGGGCACTGGGTTGGTGAATGCAGACTTCTGTTCTTCCTAGCCCTAGCATGTTAATTGCCCCCCTCCTTCACATTAGCTGAGAAGAGTCTGCCACCTTGTGATGGAATGGAATTATGAAGGCCAGGCTCAGGGAGAAAAACATTTTCCTAACTCGCCGGAGGATCGTGGGAGATACAAGAGGATGAGACTGGCACCTCCCTGAGGAATTCAAATGTTGTGACTGGCATTACTTGGGAACTGGGGTTTCAGTCTGGGAAGATTCTTGCTAGAGGTTGTAGCTAATAAACATTGCTGGACTGAATTTGCATTTTCTCTTGGAGTCCCTTGGGCTAGGCCTGACATCAGTCTCCCCAGACTGAAGCCCCAG